TATGACACCATGGCACTCTACCCAGGGCAATGGAATGAGACTCTGTCTCAAAAAAAAGTTGATATAGTTCTTAATTCCTTACCAAATACCATAAGGTTCTGCCAAAAATTAGAGAAGAAAGAGAATCATTTAATACATTTAGCATGCAAGGAACAAAGGAGAAAATTCTATGCTGTAATCACTAAAAATTGAATGTCTGTAATTATACATTTGGTCCTATGATTACATGTTAAATGATGGCATGTTTATGTGTGTGTGTGCACGCATTTGAATAAGAAATAAAGCACTTAATGGTTTTTTTGTCACTAGCTAGAACATAAAAATCTTTATGAGGAAATCCAATGACTGTGGGAACACAAACTTCCAAAAGTCTATATATTACTTTTTACTACATGGAACTTACAAGAATATTTTATATGTACAGTATTTTCTTACCTCTTAGGCTTTTGTTATACTTCTGCTCGGACATCGCTTTATTGTATTTCTTCCTTTTTTTACAAAACCATTGATTTATCTGCAAAAAATGATGTAGGAAGTAATTAATAAATACAGGAATAAGGATACTGCTTTATATGAGTCACAGAAAAGTAATTTGTAAAAATACTATCAATGAAGACATGTCTGTCAATGTTGTCATACCTGTTTATGTGTCATGCTAAATTCAAATGAGAGGGAAAAACTATCTTGTATTGTGAGGTATTTGTTTAATTTAAACTTTCCCCAGAGAGTGTCCATGAGGGGTTTGCTGACCAATCTTTTCCTGGGATGTTGTTCTTCATTTTCCTTTTCCTTTTTCTTTTCTTCTTTCTGCTCTTCTTCCAATTCCTTTTCTATTTCCTCTTCTTTTTCTTTTCCTGTTCCTTGTCCTCCTCTCTCCTCTTCTCTCCATTTCTGCTTTCTCTTTCTTTCATGTTCACTATAATTCCTGTGTGATTGCTCTGGATTTTGATCCCAAGGCATAGCTGGTTGTTTTTGCATAACAAGATCTGTGGAATAAAATCAACCTCCAGTTAAGTTTT